ATGTTTACAGTTTTCTTTAAAACCTTTTTCAGGAGATGTTTTAGCTTAAAAAACAATAATGATGCTTAATTATTCGTCATCCAGAAACAGTTTTTTCTTGGGGGGGGGGGGGGGGATAATTCCCAGAATTACCCTTCAATGAATCATATTAAATGCGCACATTAAATTACCTAAATGAGCGCGGGGGAATTAATTAGGCCAGCCGCCGACGCAATTACGTCTAATCGGTTACCATAATATTCCTGTCCTCTTCCGGGCTCTCGTTGTTGTGGTTTTTTTTCTTCAGACGGCCCGTGTTTGCCCTGGCGCTCTCGACTGTTACGCGGTCGCTGAGAAACGCGCGGAATTCCAGGGCCAGGCTCACAAACAACGGGACGAGTTGGGCGACGTTTGAGCGTCACCACTCATCGTACCATCGCTCATCGTACCATCGCTCATCGTGGAAGAGAAGATATCGGTCAATGAACAATGAGGCAGGGCTCGTCCGCTGTTTACAGCCCTGAGGCAGGCAAGGAATATCCACAATCCTACGGCGGGGACGAGTCTTTCCATAGGACAGCCACTGTTGACTTCCTCACCAAGTGGTCATCATTCTTCATCATGGGACCTCCTTTGCGAGTACCGAAATATACTAATAGAGTTTTTCCCCTTTTTTCTGGCAACAAAACTGATACCTTTTGAAAGGAATCATGCTTACATTAACCACAATACTTGCAGTCAAATGAAAAAAAAATACTCTGATAATTTATGCATTGTCTTTGAAACTGATTGGTCCACACCAGAGACAGCTTTCTTTTGAGCCTCGTCTCATATGGTGTTCGACCAGATGACGCCAAAAGGTGCCAAAAGGCGCATTTGACTGCAAGTATTGTGGTTAATGTAAGCATGATTCCTTGCAAAAGGTATCAGTTTTGTTGCCAGAAAAAAGGGGAAAACCCCTATTAGTATGGTCATCATTGTCGACCCCCGAACGATGATGGGCTACGTGAACCCCTGGCCAGGATTTGAACTCACAACGTTCCGATTGCTAGCGCATTGCTCTACTGCTGCGCGACATCACCGGTTAGATGCGAGAGTAGAATTAATTGATTAAAATGAATAACTGTACTCGCCGTACAATCATTGACTCACCTGTGCAAGAAACAACTGAGTTTAAACTCCCCCTAGCCGTTACCATGGCAGTGAGACTTGCAGTTCCATGTATGGATGCACATAAAAAAAAAACTCATCTCGCATAAGGAGTTTGTATATAATATTGCTACACGTGTTAACCAGGTTAGATAACTTAAATGGATTGCTCTTGTCAGAAAAATGTGGTTATCCAGTAGCATTTTGCTTGCATGTAAGTATGTATGTATTTCGAACTTCTTTCGCAAAGTGCAGGAGCCAACCGTGCTCATCGGAGGTGCGGTGAGAAAGAAATGAATTTTCAATCTCGATTATTTAAAAGTGCACAGCTCCAGTAGCTTCCCAACATCAGAAGGAAGAGCTTTCCAGACGGCCGTAGAAGTGCATCTGAAGGTGCGCGATGCGGTGACCGTCTTTGTTTCATTGCTGCCAAAAGCCGCCCGTGAAAATGTTTTATTTCTTCTTGGTTCTTTCGATAAAGTCACGTAGAAGGGAAGTAATAAAATAATAAAAATAAAACGTAATAAAATAATTCTCACGATGAATGTGTTATTTGCTAAATAAACCCGACTACTGACGAGACTCAAAAGGTTAAAACTGGTCTAGGATTTGCTTTCTTCAACAAAGGCTGCTGCACAGCATTGAAGTGGAGAGTCAATAGGCCGATAGACAAAACACATTTGTATTCACATGTAGGGATACAGAGCAGAATTCAAATTTTTGATATATTTATAGTTTTTATACAAAAATATATTCTATAGGATCATACCAGTATAGGTTCAACGTGATCCCGCAAGCGTGAAACAAAAAAAATGTATTCACGAATCGATCCCATTACTCTCAACTACAACTGAATTAATATCATTGCCGTGGGGTGAATCGTGAAAAAAAGAAATGTATTAGTCATAGAGCACACACGTTTTCCATCTTTTGAAGGTTTAACACTTACGATGCGCTATTTTTAATATCCGAATGTGCAAAGTGTTAGTGTGTGGCAGCGGCACGCGGCACTAACGCCGCGCAGCTATAAACATGAGCGTTAGGTTTGCTTGCCGAGCACGGCACATCGCTGCGCCAGCTCAACGGATTTTGGCCAACGTTTCAAAGCAGGAATAGCAGAGGAGCAGCTGCCAGCGGTTCGCGCTCGTTACTTGGGGTCTCAAACCATTAGTTCGCAAATCTCTGGGCTTGCACCCTCCATTGGCCTTACGATTGAGAGATTGGTAAACCTGAAATGTTACCCCAAGGTTATAGTGGGTGGGTGGGTGAGTGAGTGGGTGAGTGAGTGGGTGGGTGAATGAGTGGATGAGTGGGTGGATGAGTGGGTGGGTGGGTGGATGAGTGGGTGGGTGGGTGGATGAGTGGGTGGGTGGGTGGATGAGTGGGTGGGTGGGTGGGTGAGTGGGTGAGTGGGAGGGTGAGTGGGTGGGTGGGTGGGTGAGTGGGTGAGTGGGAGGGTGAGTGGGTGAGTGGGAGGGTGAGTGGGTGAGTGGGAGGGTGAGTGGGTGGGTGAGTGGGTGAGTGGGTGAGTGAGTGGTTGAGTGGGTGAGTGAGTGGGTGAGTGAGTGGGTGGGTGGGTGGATGAGTGGGTGGGTGGGTGGATGAGTGAGTGGGTGGGTGGATGAGTGGGTGGATGGGTGGGTGGACGGACCGTCTTTAGAGAGCCGTGGCGTTATATTTATTCGCCACACGTTCTACACAAGGCCACACGTACACCTGGCAACGTGAGTTCCCCGTGTTCTACATTTGTACCAGTACATACACGGCAAACTCGACACACAAACAAATTAATTCATGACAACATATATTCACTTAGGCACAGCCGAAACAAAGGCGAATGGCATCTTAGAAAGTCATCCAAACAATTTAAAGAGTAGTTACAATCATTTACACCTCTCTATTAATCTACTACTGGATGAAGGCGTTCCCGCACTCTTATGTCGGGAGTGGGGGGGGGGTGACTATACTTCACCATACTGGTCAGTGTGGGTTGGTGAAAGTGAGAACCAGGATCGGTTCAGATATCACTGGCCACTGATGTTAGCCGTGTAGTTTGGAATCAAACTCAGGTGGCTGGGCTCATAGCACAGTGCGCACAGCACTCCACCAACGCTGACACAAAACAAACTGTCAAAAATATCATGTCTTCTCAATCGCGTTTTATAACTGCGTATTTTTTTTTATTCAACAAGATTGCCGATGCAAGGAAACGTAAAATGTGAAAAATAAAGAAAAATGCTTCAGATAATAGAAATACACGGGATAGCGACCATTACTAAGGCTGGCAAACGCGCAAAATTGTGGGTTGTTTGGCCAGCACTATGCCAGCCTGCCTTTGTCTCCCCCGTGCCAATGTTTATGCACCACACTAGGTGCTCATTAAGGTTGAATCGAACGACAGAGACCCAGGACAAGTTTAGATGCTCATCACCGGTGTTGGTCGTGAGCTGGAATCGAACTCGGGTCGCCGGGCTCATAGCAAAGTGCCACAACCAGGTTCTGGACCTCCACCTGGACAATTCAGCCATAAACAAGTACCTGTGCTTTGTGTAAACATCAGCATTAGGGGAGACAAGTACCTGTGCTTTGTGTAAACATCAGCATTAGGGGAGACAAGTACCTGTGCTTTGTGTAAACATCAGCATTAGGGGAGACAAAGGCGGCTGGACGCGGTGCTGGCCACCCACTTGACCGTTTGCCATGCTGGCCTCCATAGAGGTGCTCACTAATAGTACTTGCCCCAAGTCTTTTAAGGCTACATGGGGAACCTTTGTCTTTGGAGTGGTGGCACAATGACTCGCAAAAGCCTTATTAGGTTGTCGCCAACGGTGCTTGCCGTCGCGGTATATAATGATGTACGTGGGATACAATATACGTCGTATTGGTGTGTGTGGAATGCAGGTAATGACTTGAAAATGGGTTATTAAAAATGCACAGATGTGCACTTTATTCTTTTGAACTTATCAATTTTTGTAATAAATTCAATGCACTTATTCTATTACACGATTAGGGAATACGGATCAGTTTCAAAATAATCAGTGCTCGTTAAAACACAACTTTCAACGGCCACAAATGTGGACGCATTATTTACTAATTTGGTCGAGTGGTGGCTGATAAAGATCGGTTCGTTTAAAAATTTGTGTTTTTAATTTATCCAACTGCCAGAACTTAAACCCCCATAATGAGTTCCATGCAAAACCAAAAGGTCGAGAGAGAATAAAACATGTTGTCTACTGTCAACGCAATTACAACATTATCACCAAATGGCAAAAAGAAAAATATATAATTCCTCATTATAAACTCTCATTAATGTTCTTTGCATCATTAACAACGGAGGCCAATTAATCACAGGGCCACGATTCCAATGAAAAAGGCCCCATGGCGCTTTACTTGCCACTCGTGGTTGACTTCGTGAGATAGCACACGTAGACCCCCGGACGTTTGGCCTCTGCGGTGGCTCGGAGATGTTATCTACCTCGCCTGGTATGCAGGAGGTCGGGGTTCGATGCCGACCCTGACGCCTGCTGTATATTTCGCATTAGCACGTTCTCCTTGTGATCACGTGGATTTTTCTCCGGGTCCTCCGGTTTTTTCCTCCAAAGTCATAATCAACGTGCGTTTAGAGTATTTGGCTGCTGTAATTTCCTGCATAATAAGGTATCATTTGTGGCCAGGTCGCTTCTGAAAGAGCTATACAGCTGAGTAGGCTTTACCTGGTAAAATAAAAATGTTTTTATAGTTTAGTTGTGGAAAAAAAAGGGGAAAACGCATTGACAATGCACTGAGGCCAAATCTAAAAATGTCAGAACCAAACTATATATTTTTAACCATTAAAAGTCACGCAACACGATATTTATGCATTCACAAATTACGCTGCGTGGATTTCGGTTTTTCTTTGTTTCGTGTGCGGTGCTGTCCACAACCTTGACTGTGAGATTGAAGAAGACTGGTGAAAAAAAATAAAGACACGAGTCAGGAAAACAACATCGTATCACCAATGTGTGTATGGTTGGCAATTTCACGAAAAAATAACGCATCGCTGCATGCTGGTGCGCTGGATGCTGGCTACTTCTCCGATTGCTTAAAGTCAGCCTGGAATAGATATGGGATGATCGCGAACAGAAAATTGCGTTCGCTTAATCCAGAGCATATCTGGCCAACATCACAATATGACAGTTTAATCCTGGTGCCGTTTTCTTTTTGGTAATTCTGTCTGCAGAAAGTTTCAATTTGTGGCTTGGTCGGCTTAAAAATACAATAAAAATTGCCTTTTAGAAATTCCACGATGCCTGCCATTCACACTGCGAGTGCCAACATTTAAGAGAGCGCCAGATTGCCAAACCGCTGCTCAACTTCCCATTATTTATCTCACTCGCTCTCAATTCTTTTTTTAGAATTCAATCTCCCTCTCATCACCTCTCCTACCCTCGTCGCACACCCTCTCCATATCCCATCCCCTTCCCTCTTGCCGCCTCAATGTTTCTCCCACTATAGATGCCTCTTTCGCTCTCAATAAGTCCTCGCGGAATTATTCGCTTTTCATTTCCCCACGTCTGCATTCATATTGCTCTCCTGAATCCTCTGTCACCACTCCCCCCTTCCCACACGCCACCTCTCTTGAGCAGGGCACATGGATTAAATTTGTGGTCAACAAACATGCCCAGCAGGCAGGGCAAGCGATGGCGAAATAGCAGCTCCAGCGACTGAATTTAATCATCTCCCCCAAAGTTAAACCAGCTTTGGTTCTGAGTGCACACCATATCCACGCTAAGAATTCCACGTTAATTACTCTCCCTCTTGTTTTAATAAGGGTCACCATTATACAATTTCCTCCCAGCCAATCAGGATAGATGGTGGTCAGACAGCAGAGACAATCCAGAATTTTTTTGTTTATTCTTCAGTGGAATCTTAAGAAATAAAATCATACTTTAAAAGATGCATTAAATAGACACTATCTTGGAGCTACACTCACGAAGACTGATACTTAAATTGTCAACACAGCCAATCATCAGGTTGGGTGCGGTGGGATAAAGTGTGCATTCTCCCACCTAGAGTGGAAGAGTAGGCCAACATACCCTCTTGAGGGGCTCTCTAGTGGCGTCCCTTCTGCCAACAGTGGCATAAACAAACTATGCATATATTTTTATGAACTAGAAACAAGTTTTATTTTACCACGTAAAGCCCACTGAGCTATAAGGTCTTTTTCAGAAACGACCTGGCCACAATGATAGCTCAACAAATTGGCTTATCGTGTGGAAAATTATAGCAGCCAAATACTCTAAGCGCACGTTTCTAAACTTGGAGGGAAAAACTGGAGGACCCAGAGAAGAATCCACGTGACCATGAGGAGAGAGACACGCAAACTCCAAATATACAGACGTCAGGGTCGAACCCACGACCCTCCTGTATACCAGGCGAGGTAGTTAACATCCCGCCACAAGCAACTGCAAGGCTCCACCTTTACCTTTGACAACATTATCCATCTTATAGACTCACCCCACCACCATTTCGGCTCCACTACTCACTCCATTTAAGCAGGGAGACACTTTTATCCAGTTTTCCAACTTCGCATTTACCTAGTGTGAATGGCCTTGTTGTGACACTCGGTGCAAAGTTTCCAAATGTCAATTGCATTTGCTGGTGCCAATTTGGACGATGGCCATGAGCGACTGCGTTTTTATTGCAGAGCTGTTTGTTTGGGTCTTGGGCACGGTGCGTGACAGAACGCGGACGGAAATAAAAGCCTCGTCGCCTGCTCATTCACCATTTCTCAGCGCCAAATACAACAGAGCCAAAACGCATAATTTCTGAAAGAAATCACCCAATAAGCGAGCTCATTGCCACAGCAAGGCGCCCATTCACACAGACTCTCAAGCAACCTCATTAATAACTCTTTTACAGTTTATAGCGGTCACGAAAAATACCCTTAACGGCTCAATGAAAACGCCACCAACAAAGACGCTTGCTTTACTGTAAATGTGCTGTGAGCGTAAAAGAAAAACGTTTCAGTGAAGAGTCTCAATGACTTCGTAATTCTAATGAGGCTGCTGTGTGCGGCCCCTTAAATCATACAAAACGAAGTCCACAGAAATAAAGAGGCATTACCCGAGTTCCGTGTTCAGGAGAAGTTTTTACACGGGTGTAAAAATGAGTTAAGTTTACCGACACGCGCAATGATTGCCAACAACACGATCAATGTATGCAATTTGAACAAAACTAAAATGTGAGAAAGTCACTGTTATTACACTGCCTGTTAAAGCCCAAGACGCGATGAAAATCCTGAATGTATCGCTATTCTGAATGAGTTACAGCGACAAGCATAATCGTATATATATATACAATTACATATACACCGAATTCTGGGGATTATAACACACTTTTTTTCCCTTCATTAGAAAAAACGTTATAGGTGCATGTTTGCCGGGTGTCAATGCATTTGTGTTGGGGGAGCGGTAGTGTAGCGGTTAGCGCGCTGCGCTACAACCCTGCGACCCGAGTTCGATTCCCGCTCACGGCCAACACTAGGTGTCAATTATTAAACCGGTCATGGGTCTCCCCTAGGTCGACTCAGCCTTAAATGAGTACCTGGTGCAGTGTGTAAACATCGCCACTGGGGGGGCAAAGCGGCAGGGAGTGGTGCTGGAAACCCACCCTCGTGTTTCATGCCAGCCTTCATAGGGGCTCACTAACCGCACCTGCCCCAACAGCCTGTTAAGTCTGTACGGGGGATCTTTATCTTTGTTGCGTTGGAAATACTTTATTGACACCAGGGTCAAATTTGGGGTGCGTCTTACTTTCTGGAGTGTCATATGTATGTGTGTATGTTGAACTTCTTTTGCACCATACGTAGCCAACCGTGCTAATTCGAGGAGTATGAACTCTATCGACATCGAAAAACACCACCACGCATGCAAATAACCGTCTAAATAGTACCCATTCCTTGACTCTGCCATTAAAGTTAATGTCTTTAACAGGCACAAAAGGAACCCAAAAAGCACGTATACATCAAATAAACAATCCACCTTCACATGACCCGTATGTACATATAGCAACAGATGTAAATAATAATAATGATGATTGTTTTCAGCCCTTTGCCAATCGACTGTTTAGTTGAAGGCAACCCAACTCTGGATCAGTGACGGTGTTTGTTTGACCGTACCTCAGTGCGGATTTGTAAACGAAGGGCCTAAGGTGACCAGCTGAAATATCACTCGAAAATTGTGTTAGCCATGGGACAGGACTCAAGTGCGCAGGTTCACAGCGCAGTGTGCCAACCACCGTGCCAGCACTCTACACCAAAGCCCTAACCTCTAATGGGAGACTTTCCTTGCTACGTTTTGGGGCGAGCCTCATACGTGGACACAAGACTCATTGGGAGAGAATCTTTTCACACTGGGGTGAGACCACAGAGGACACATCAGGGTCAGTGCTAAGAGGGCATGAAGTGACCTGGTAAAACAATTAAATGCACTTTGCTGTTTTAGAATGTTTCAGTCATCGCTATGTCATCATGTCTGTATTTGGTTATTGAGAGTGTTGTTTGTATTGTTTGGACTTTTAGAGTACGTTGTAATCATGATGTTTTCTGAGAATCACAACGGCGGTTTGTTGTAAGTCAAATAATAGGGCTAACGATAACACAAAGACACAGACCAACACACAGGTCGCCGCATTTATGATCAAACATAGGAAGCTGGACATTTACTGAAACCCATATCGGTTGACTCAGACTTACATCCCTCCCTTATTGATAAAAATAAGCACCACTTGGTTTGAAGTCAACAGTGTCTATCCTATGGATATGCTGGCTCATGCCATGGGATTATGGACTTACTACCACGAGCTCAGGACTAAATATTAAAAGAAGTGCTGAACCACTGCATAATTGAGCAGGCAGAGGCTTTGACTTTATTCATCTAGTCCAATTTATTTGACTCTTCAAATATCCGACGCTTCTTTCCACCCAGAGAGAGGACGTGAAAATTAATTATTTATATGTTGCTCACTCAAGGTTAAAAAACAAACAATTACTGCACTTCGTTCAACGTGTTAGTGTGCGTTCTGTTATGCACACTGCATACATACAAACACACACTACTCCCACAATTCACAGGGCGTGCGGTCATTCTTGCAGCGGCGCTTTGTCTGTGTAACTGCCTGTAACGTCACATGCCAGGTGTGCTTAATATCGGCGCTGAATGCGGCTACCGGCGGTTTTACCTTCACGATTCAAATAAATAACACTTAAAGCAGGTAGGCAGGCAGGCACGCATGCAAGTGCACAGCAAAGTTCGTGATGCCTGTCGCAATTTTGCCCGATCGAGTTGGCAGCGCAAATTTGCGGGTTCAGGAACTCGCGCAGTCGCTCCCCTGCCTGGCCGAGGGAGGAGTGGTGCGGTGGCAAGATGTTAACGCCCTCACCGAGTATGCTGGAGATCGTTGGTTCGATTCCCAGCCTGACGCCTGCTGTATAATTGGAGTTTGCACGTCTCTTTCACAGTGGTCGCGTGGATTTTTCTCCGGATCCTCCAGTTGTTCCCTCATCATTTATCAACATGCGCTGAGAGCATTTGGCTGCTATACATTTTGCACGTGATAAGCCACGTTCTTGAGCTATCATTTGTGGCCAGATCGCTTCTGAAAAAGAGCTATAGAGCTCAGCGTGCCTTACCTGGTAAAATAAAAAGTTTAGCTTAAATTTCGATTTAAAGCTTTCGTGACTGCAGGGATTCATCTTCTTGGTTCTTTCGGTAAAGTCACGTAGAAGGGAAATAATAAAATAATAAAAATAAAACATAATAAAATACAATTCTCACGACGTTTCGGCCACAACGCAAGCAGACGTCCTCAGATGAAAGAAAAAAAACGCCACTTTTTTCAAAAAAATTATTGCTGTGGTTTTCACACCTGATGATGATTGCTTGTGTTGCAATCGAAACGTCGTGA